CTTCCCACACTATGTACCGGTTAAGTTCTGTGGACATATTTTCTTCAAAATAGAAATTAATATCTCGCTCAATCAGACTGGATACTTCCAGGTGTTGGATAAGGGACTCATTAAGTTTCCATTGCCATGGACCAGGCCCAGGTTGGGATCTAAAATAAGATTAAAACTCTGCCAAATAAGTTAAGACCCGTTCCAAAAAAGAAATTTGATTGTTATTGGGTAGGTAAATATTCGCAAAGGTAACAATCTGCTCTTCCAAAGTGCCTTTCAGAAACAAGACTCAACCCTCTTCCCCTGCATATTGATCCAACAGCAGCCAAGATATGTGTTGGGACATGACGATACTCACTCCTCTCGATCTCTTATCTGGTGAGTCACTGTGGTATGCTGCCGGATAGCGCCTGTCTCCCAGCCATGGGATACTATCATGTTTAAAGTGAGTTTCCTGGAAGAAAGCCACATCAATCTTCTGACGGTTGAGGTCATTAAGGAAAACAAAATTGGGGGGGAAGGAACCCCTACTACAAAAACCCCAAAAAACAATGAAGGGGAATAAATTATCCCGTAGCAGTCTCCCTCCGCCTGCTTCTGGACAGAGAGAGAGTGCTATTCTTTGGGTGACGTAGAAGGTGATCGCTCAGGGCAACCCGTGACCTGAAAATAAAAAAATGAAAAATCTTTGCAGGGAACCTAGTACTTTATTTACCTGGGCTGGAAAAAAAAGGACTTCACCAGGGCCTCTGTCATCCTTTTGGAACTATTCAAAACATATTCAAAACATCCTTTTGGAACTCCCTATCCCAATCTATTCAGCTATTTCCAACTCTGTTTGTCTTTAGGTGATTCCTGAAAACTCACCTCTTCAGGGAAGTCTATCCCACCCCCTACTAAAAGCTGTATATCTACTTCTTCAATCAGCTTATCATTCACAGTTGTTACCTTCTGTATCACTTGCCCCTTCCTTGTAGATTGTAAACTTTCATGAGCATGGCCCTTCTAATCCTATTGTATGGAACTGTATTGCAACACTATCAGTTACATTACAGTTATTGCCCCATATTTTGTAAAGCACTGCACAAATTCTTGGCATTATACATAAATCTGGTATAATAACAATAATCCATCACCTACAGTCTTAGCCCAAATAATGCATTAATACTCATCAACTAAGTTTCAATTGATTTATTTTATATTTTGAAAGCTTTAGATATTTGTAGTCAATACATGTGATAGTGTAATAATAAATGTATAATGTATACATATGAAATCATAATGTATACTTATGAAAATATGAGCAATCATTCTCTATAGTGCAATTTATGTCCTTCAGGCTAATACTCAACATTGCTTTTTTTTGATTATACAGCAAAATAAATGATTCTGCTGCTTGGAAGATTTTTTCAAATTTTATATACTATGCATATGTTGTTGATTTACCATTTAATATGTCTCATATGTTTTTTTGGAATTGAATACACTTTGGTATATTTCCTCTAGAGCACAGGGTGACTCTACAGCTTTTGCATAGAATAGTCCTCACTGGATTCATAGCGTAACCATTATTGTCACCATCTTTTATATGCATATCCCCATAACATAATTTGGATTTTAAAAAATCCCAAAATGTATTAAAGCATTTAGAAACACATTATACATAAGCAGCACACAGGCCCATTTTTGTGCATATAATGAACATTCATCAGTATGGTTGAACTGTGTTTTTTTTTTCACCATTCAGTATGTAAATTACTCTGTCAAAGGCCAGGGTAGGTAGACTCAGCCAGAAAACACTTCCCTTTAAGACCGGGATAATTCATAACCATTCACCAGGTATCAGTTCAAACAAGCATGTCTTTATTTTACACAAGCAAGTTATAAGACACTTTCAACGATTAACTCCTTGCTTTAGGTTTCAAAAAGCCCAAACATAAGCAGATGCAAATCACAGAAGTTGAATCCAAAATGGAGATGATTTCTCAGCAGACTCACTGGAGGGCAGCCTCGGCTAACTAGAGACTACACCCTTTTGTTGACAACACCCACAAAGAAATTTGGCTTGCTTCTTATCGGAGACCCTTTGCATGTTGAATCAGGCTTTTTTTCTAATCTATAATTTATGCAGTGACAGACCACCCATTTGTCACACACCCTGCACCAAGTGATGCTGCCATTGTGTCTGCTGGTTATTACTGAGAAAATGTATTAGTCTGGGTTATCTGCATAAGTGTTGTAGCCAGTGTCGTTCCTGTCTGCCAGGTTGAAATTATGTGGAAAACTTATTCAGATTGGACCAGTGGCAGATTGTCCTTCTAAAAGTACTAATTGGATTGGGGGGGGGTTATGGTTAGTCCACGTAATAGTTATTAAGGTCTGACTGAGTGGATTAGTGGCACTAGCACTTCATTTACCACGCAAATTATGCTAAACCACAATGCATAGAAACATAGTTAGTCAGGTTGAAAACAGACACATGCCCATCAGGTTCAACCTATAGAGATATGGAAAAAAAGAAGAAAAGCCTAAACAGAACGCTATGCCCACAATTACCCACTGTTGATCCAGAAAAAAGGGATAGACCCCCCATAAAGCATGGTTCAATTTGCTCCAACAGGGGAAAACATATTCCTTCCTGATCCCATAAGGCAATTGGATATTACCAGGATCAACCATCTCTGATGCTTAATATACCTATAAGAACTCAATATCCAGTAATATTCTGTGCATTTAGAAAATACATCCAGAGGTTTTTTTAGAAGAATTAACTAGCTAGAACTAGCTCCTGGGGTAGTCTGTTCCACATTTTCACAGCTCTAACTGTGAAGAATCCTTTCCGTATGCAAAGGTTAAACCTCTTTTCCTCCAGACTCAAAGAGTGTCCCCTTGTCCTTTGCAGTGACCTTAAAGTGAGTAATTTCTATCAAGCTAACTATATGGACCCATTTATGTATTTATACATGATGATCATGTCCCCCCTTAATCGCTTCTTCACCAGAGAGAACATATTCAGGTCAGTTAATCTTTCCTCATAGCTGAACTCCTCTATGACTCTTATAAGTTTAGTCGCCCTTCGCTGCACTTGCTCCAGTTCCACAACATCCTTTTTGTGAACTGGTGCCCAAAACTGAACTGCATATTCCAGGTGAAGATTCAGATTCCAGTCTTACTAATGCTTTGTACAGGGCAAGATTATGTCTCTATAAAATACAAGAAAGTATTTTGCTTGCTTTAGAAACTGCGGCTTGACATTGCATGCTATTAATGAGTTTATGATCTACCAGAACACTCAGATCTTTCTGCATCATTGAATCCCCCAAACACCTTAGAGTGTATGATGCATGCATGTTTTAGCCCCCAAGTGCATAACTTTACATTTATCAACATTAAACCTAATTTACCAAATAGTTCAATCCAATCATACAGTGCATGCAGATCTGCTTGTAAGACAGAGACATCCTGTAAGGATTGTATTCCACTACATTACTTGGTGTCATCTGCAAACACAGAAATAGTACTTTTAATCCCCAATTCTATGTAATTTATAGATAGGTTAACCCCTTCACGACCAATGACATACAGTGTACGTCGCTTGCATCGGGGCTTTTGCCGCCAGGGCTCTGTTTAAACTTGTAAAGCCGACTGTCGGCTTTACAGTAGAAGTGATTCTGGTGACTCAGTTGTCGCCAAATCGCTTCTATGGGCCGGTGAAGGGGCCCCACCCGCCTGACACACCTGCCGTGTTTCCCGGGTTCCTTTGCCCTTCCTACAGGCCCGGGACCGGCTTCCCTGGTGTTGGGGGAAAGCTGGGGAGGAGATGGATGAAACTACGTTTGTCGATCCCCTCCCCATTCTATGGGACCGGGAGCGATGCAGTCCCATAGCTGTCAGTGCCGGGCTCCTGAAGCTCAGCTATAAGCTATTGAAGTGCGATCTGCACTTAAATAGCTTATTTGGAGTGTAAAGGTGACACTGGGGGTCCCCCAGCTTCACCTTAAAGAGTACCTGTCACCACAATCTGCTTGTAACCCCCCTATGTGATAGCAATTAAAATAAAGTTAAAAAATGACAGTTTTTAAAATTAGATAAAATAAATCTAAAAATAATGTAAAAAACATTTTTAAAGTCCCCCACCCCTATGAGTCTTCACGTAAACACGCATCGGGTGCGCCTACGTATTAAAACTACGAACACGCTACACATGTTGGGGATCGCCGCACACGCCAGAGTGAGAGCGATAATTTTAGGGCCAGTTTTTTTTGGATATCTCTAAACTGATGACCTGTGGGGGCTTTTAAAGCGCTGTCTATGGACTTTTCAGGGTACTGAATTTTGTTGCCGTTTCACGGGCGCGCACAATTTTTTACCTGGGCATGTTGGGCATCTATTTACTCGTTGTAACCTCATCTTTTTTATTTTATTTTAAAAAATTGTATTTTACTGTGTTTTGGGGCATTTAAGTACATTTTTTCACTAAATTGTGGGGTTTGATAAGGAGTTGCGCTAATATCGTGCAACATAAAAATTTGCAACTGCCACCATTGTATTCTATAGGGTCTTGGTTTTAAGAAAATATATAATGTTTGGGGGTTTTAAGTAATTTTCAGGCCTAAAATGTGGAATATAACATGTGTGCAAAAAATGAAAAAAAAAAAGGCCTCAGTCATGAAGGGGTTAAACAGTAAGGGGCCCAACATTGAACCTTGGGGAACACCACTAACAACCTCAGATCATTCAGAGTATGAATCATTGATCACCACTCTCTAAATACGGTCTTTAAGCCAGTTTTCTTAATGGTCTTGTTAAAACAAGGGGAGCAGTGTGATCATCTAAATTTCTCAGAATTGTAATAATTGTAACTTGATTTGAGAGCTATACTAAAGATGTATTGTAAAAAGAAATGCTTTACACTTCTTAGGGTACTAAGATTGGAAGGATATATTTATTGTAATACTTTGGACAGGTTTATTATTGCGATATTAATATGATGTATTTATGATGTGCAGTGTCCTGGAGGTCAGTCCCAGATGACAAAAGATTTTTTCAAGTTCAATGGATCTAAAGCAAGAAGCAAAACGTATATAAATTTGAGAGAGATCTCCCAAAGATTTATACTTCCACCTGGAGACTACATGATTATTCCTACAACATTTGAGCCGCATCAAGAAGCAGATTTTTGTCTTAGAATATTTTCAGAGAAGAAAATGGAGATTAAGTAAGTTAATTTTAGATTAGTTATTTTTATTGCAGTAATGCTCATGCTTTACAAATTACCCTGTCCAAAAAAAAGAACCTTAAATTGATGATTATAGTGTAGCGCACCCCTGACGGATCAGCATACAGTAATAAAGCAATGGGTCTCCCTGATTTCCTCTGTGATGCACCTCAATAATATATACACCGCACACCAGCACACCTTGAGATGTTTTGAATGAGTGATTACTATACATTGTAATATGTATATCAATGAAATCACTAAACATTTGTCTCTACACAGAATGTCACCTCGACTGTGTATGAGACACAGGTATAACAGTACGATAATCAATCTATACACAAACTTTAGTCCCAATGTACCCAGGTACCTAACCAACTGGCCAGTGGTAGTATCTTCGGCTAGCCAATGTTGGTGCCCAATACAAATGGTGAACGAATCTGTGTATGCTGTTAGCGATAACAACATGCTGGATGAGTCTGTGGCTGGAAGAGATGTCAGAAGCTATCCTCTGCGATGAAGAACACGTCCCTTAGGAAATGAAAGTAGGTTGTCTGATGTCAGCAGTTGTTGATCAGGTCTCTAGCTCCATCGTCCATTCGTCCAGGCAGAGTCGCAGCCCGCAATGGCCTCTCGATAGCATGACACCTCACCCACAGTCTCAGCCGATTGTCCTCCAGATGGGAGCAAGAGGGAAAATTCTTCTGTGTAGCAGATATCGCTTCAGGACTGCACCTGTGACAAATGAGTACAGTCTCTCTATCTCTCCGGCTGCACAGCACACAAATTGCAGTCTGTGTCCTGTGTCTCCCCATTGATCCGGTGGACTGAATCCAGAAAAACTTCACCACAGAGAACTCACTCCCCCTTCCTCCTGTAGTACTCTGGGGAGTGTCGCCATTTACACACAGTCTGACAAGTTTCCTCCCCAGCTGTGGACTAATTCCCTACAAGTCCTTGCTATCAGGCTCCTCCTGCAGCTGCAACATGAGTTCACTCTTAAAGGAGCCCACACCACATCAGGACTACAATTGAAATCAGTCTGAGGGATTTTTGTTTTAATATATACCTATTTTGAATATTCAAAAATGTTTAGGCTAAATGTATAGGTTAACAAATGTCAATGCATGAAACCTATAATACAGAAATACCTACAGAAATAAACATTCAGCAGGACATATATCCCTTATTACATTTAAAAAATAGATTAGATTAATTATAATGTCTTGGTCTTACAGTCGATCTATTGACAGTCTCACTTTCTTAGCGCACAGTAACTTTTACTTTTAGGCTCTTATTCCTTTGGCTCTTATTCCTTTCAGCATGACCCTTGTTTTTATTTTACCTTGTGTTCAAAATATTTTGTTTTGTATTTTTAACCTTTCTTGTGTTCATTTTAACAACAGCAACAGTTGTTGTATTTTAACATATGCAGAACTTAAATTCACAATCAATATTTCCTTGCAGTACTATTAAGATTGCAGAGTCCACTTTTTGCTTGTCATATCTGCATATGTATTTGTTTAGGAGGAAAGGCTACCCACATCCAAGATAGGGAAATCTCTAACGACAATAAAAACAAGACGGGCACCTTCTCCTTGTAAAATAAGTTTTAATAAACGCTAATGTTAAAAACAAAAAGAGGAAAGGTATTCACAATTAAACTGAGCTAATAACGCTCATCACAAAACAAAGACCACCTTGAGTCTCTTCACTTCACAGACTGACACTCCAGCTTGTAGTGTGATGCGCCAACCAAGATACATTTTGTAGGTGATAATGGATAATAGTGATGACCAGTTCATGAACAAATCGATTCTTTTAAAAAAAATGTATTTATTTCAGTTTTATTGGGTTTCAAAGTAGTATATACACAATACAGTTGTATAGCCACCATGTAACAGAGACAATAAGTCATTATCAGCGATCTAAATGCGGGGTACCATACAAAGAACAAAAAGGAGAACAAAAAAAATAGAGAAAACACGCAATGGGAACAGAAGAACAGAAGGGATAGGGGAGACAAAACATCCACAAGACTAAAGGGGAGACAAAGACGATTCCTTGCTCCGGAACTGTAAGAACAGGTGCGTTACATGACCAATAGAAATAGCCACAGTTCTAAACATATTAAAGGCAATTCATCAAAGTAGGTAAACCATAAAGCATATTCCCAGGGCATGACACCTTAGACCTTGGTGAAAGGAGATCTCAAGTGAGAAGTGTAGAGAAGGATTATCTCATGGGTCCACTTGGGGTCAGTTGCCAGTGTCAGAAATGTAAGTAAAATAGATTGCGGAGTCCTCAAAAGCTAACCAACATGCCCATCTCCTATAGAAAGTAGAATAGGAGTCCTTTGCAGTGTGCATTAATTCTTCCATTAGTCTGGTGGAGTCCAATTTGCAAAACCAGTCCTGGATAGAGGGTACCTGGGTAGATCTCCAATGTCTGGGGATAAGAGATTTAGAAAATTTCTAGTTCCCTCAAAATTGGAGATCCCACCACAGAGCAAAATTATTTCAAACAAAACATTATATCAAACACAATTCGATTTCTATCACAACATTATTTAATCTCATATGAAAAAATTAAATTCATCACATTTAACTAACATATAAAGTACTAAAATCTGGCTAACCCTTCAATGGCTATGATATGAAAAGTAAAACTTGCAGCATGTTATACGGTTACCCAGCAAGGGTGGTGAAAATCCAGAGACATATGATTGACAGCTAGTGTGTCTGTTATCTCGCTTTGTGTCCAGACGTATAATGGATTGCTTTATAGCACTACAGCTCTGGCAGGGTTCCTCTGATGTTTAAAGTATCAGTGCGAATAGTTCACAACAACATGTTGCAATTAAACAGTTCCATTGTATATCCTTCAAACGAAAAAGAGAAATCTGTATAGATATCCACTTATAAGGAAACATCCAAAGACAAGAAAAATTATCCATAATCAGCTTTAGGAGTCAAAAGGTGGCCCCATAGTGTTGTATTCTCAAGACGCACATCCAGCACTGTGCTGTCTCAAATCTCAGGCTGAGGGAGTCTCTGTCATGTACGGCCGTACTGATTAGAAACAATTAGTATATACTCATCTCTTGAAAGATGGTTTGAGCCGCTCACACGTACATTGCAGCAGCCCTTGTCGATTCAGCAGTTTTTCAAGTATTCTCTGTATATCTTATGATTCACCATCCATTAGCTGAGTGTCTAAAGCCATGACGGGAAGCAGCAGGCCACGATTCACCCTAACGCGTTTCTCCCCTTCGAGGGGCTTCATCAGAGGGAGCGTGATCTGTCTTCGCTCTAAACAGATGATTCTTATATCCTTCCATATGTAATTAGTTTGAGCACTTTGCGTTCCAAATACCACTCTAAACGGAAGAGTAGCATTTCCTGCTTGCGCTCCACTTGTTACTAAGTAATACATTTCAAACTGATATATTAGCTTTTTTAACATTATCTCCGCTGTATATATCTTAAACTTCATCCTTATTCTCCAGGAAAAATCTCTGTATATTTGAAACATCCTTTCATAGAACATAATCAAATCAATTTATTTAATTTACTCTAAAGATTTTACATATATATATATATATAACGGAAAATTGAATCATACTTACCGTAATTTTCTTTTCCTGGTTATACTCCATGGCAGCGCTGACAAATGGGTTTAGATCCAATTACCCCTAGCTGACAGGAACCAAAAGGGTTAAACAAGGCCTAACCCTCTCTATAAAAGCCCCTCCTCCTGCTGACTTCCCCAGTCTAGTAACAAGCTAAAAACTCCATAGGGTGGGAGCCCAGCGCTGCCATGGAGTATAACCAGGAAAAGAAAATTACGGTAAGTATGATTAAATTTTCAGTTTTCCTGGCCATATCCATGGCAGCGCTGACAAATGGGGATTACCCAAGCAGAAGTAAGGGTGGGAACAAAATCCATAGACAAACATAATTGAATGCGAAAATAAATGTATCACTCCACCCCAAGTTGAGAGAGCAAAACACTTCTACCGAAGTGGTCATTCACTGCAGCCCTGACGTCCAGTCGAGAATGCTAACAAAGGTAGACCTAGATGCCCATGTTGCTGCCCTGCAATTTTGATTCACCGAAACTCCAGCTGCTGCTGCCCATGAGGAGGATACGGCCCTTGGGAGTGAACCCCGGTGCCTTTTGGTGGGGAGACTCCCGCTGTTTGACAGGCGTTAGTGATGGTGAACACAAGCCAACTGCTTAAGGAAGTTTTGGCTTCCTGGCTCCTGCCATAATCATAAACAGCCTTCTGAACTTTTCCCAGTCCTTACATCCTTCCACATATGTCCTCAGACACCGGACTAGGCTTAAACATCCTTCCATCCCTTCTGAGTTGAGAGCGGGAAGCATAATATCCTGATTCACATGAACACTAGCATGAACCTTCGGCAAGAAACCTGATACAGTTCTCAGAACTACTCTATCCTCATGAAAAATGAGAAAGGGTTGACCACAACCACAGGCTTGGAGCCCTGACACCCTCCTACCTGGAGCCAAGACCTCTAAGGAGACCATCTTGTATGACAAGAATTGTATAGACATAGACTGTATCGGCTCAAAGGGAGGTCCTGAAAGAGCCTCCAAAACTAGAGGAACATCCCAAGACAGATAAAGAAGCCTATTAGGAGGATATACTTTACTCACCGCCTTCAGAGACTTGGAAACGCTCTGATTCTGAGTCCACCTGATATGTCTGCATTGTGCCCACCTTCTGTTTCATTTGAGAACTCTGTCCTTGGACAGTTGAACCGAGGCTAGATTTGTATTGAATGCCGCTCCCGAGTACACAATCTCTTGAGTCGGCGTCAGGTTGCTCTTCTCCATTGTCAGTAACCATTCACATGTCTGCAGGGTGTCTATGCTGATATTTCTGCTGGAGATCACCTTTTTTTCCAAATCTGCCAGGATTAGGACATCGTCAAGATAATGGAAAATGGTACCGTTTCTGTACCTATGCTACA